CCTCTCTCCTCCTCTCTCTCTCTCTCTCTCTCCAAGTGGGGGACGGCAGCGCCCCACCTCTTTCTTCTCTCTCTCTCCCTCAAAAGTGGGGACGGCCTAGCTGCCCCCACTCTTTCCTCTCTCTCTCCCTCTCCCTCGCTCTCCCTCCCTCCCTCCCTTCCCCTCTCTTTCTCTCTCTCTCTTTCACAGGGAGGCAGCTTAGCCACCTCCACTATCTCTCCCCTCCTCCTCAAGGAAGGCAACTTAGTCGCCCCCAATCTCTCCCTTTCCCCCTTCTTCTCTCTCCCCTTCTCTCTCTCCCTCTCCCCTTCTTCTCTTCCCTTCTCTCTCTCCCTCTCCCCTTCTTCTCTTTCCCTTCTCTCTCTCCTCTTTTTCCTTCTCTCTTCCCCTCTTCCTCTCTTTCCCTCCTCTCTCTTCTCCTTCCACCTCTCTCCCTACCTGTCCCACAAGGGGGACGGCCCAAGCCGCCCCCATTCCCACTCTCTCTTCTCCCCCCACTTCTCACCTCTCTCTGTTTCTCTTCTCCCTCTCTCATCTTCTCCTCTACCACATTCTCTCTCTTTCTCTCTTCTTCTCTTCCCCTTTATACTTTCTCTTAGCTTGTTCTCTTCTTCTTCTCTACCTTCTCTCTGATCACTCATCTCCAAGGCTCTTCGAGAGTGAGGTCTTTTGACGGGATTTTAGTCTAACCCGCACCCTCATTCTCTTAACTCCTCGGTGGTGCCGAGGCCCTTGAGGTTAGGACCTTTCGGATAGGCACAAAGTGAGACATCCTGCGGGAAATCGATCATAGCGGCCATCCGATCAGTTGTTGATCATCGTTGCTCATCTTCTCCCTCTTCACATTTCTCTCTTATTTCTTTCATTCTACACTCCTCTATCACCACTCACTAGGGGGCTCTTCGGAAGTGGCTCATCACCAGGCTTGACCCGTGGACGTCACTCTTTTGAATCCTCCAGGGTACTTAAGCTTCATGCCTAGTACCTTTTTGCCTCCGATAATACCTCCTGGGGGAGGTCACGCCGGAAGGTTGTCGGATTCTCGAATGGTCATCCCTCTTTTCTTCTACAGCCCTCTCTTTTTCATTCCACCCTTCTTATTAGCTTAAAACTCTAACCACCCCTTTCAGACCTCTCCCAAGCCTTTGCCCTTTTCCTTACCCACAACCCTAACCACCGCAGACGATCCAAGGACAACCTTACCCCAGATATCAAAAGACATGCGAACCTCCAAAAGCAACAGTGGACTAGAAAGGGAGCAACTTCCAAACCGTGCCGAGAAGGCCAGGGGGCTTTCGCACAACTGATGTAAGAGGGCCCACAAGGGCCCGAGTGTGTCCACAAACCCAACCCACGATGAGGTAGGCCCACGAGCCCCTTTGCTGTGTAAAATGCCTCTCACTCATTGGTACACCTATCTACTTGTAAGAGCGTGCGCACGCAGCGCACACACGAAGCGATGTGACGCCCCTCAGGAGCCGTGGTTTTCCGAGAGAGCGATCCCGGGCTGGGTTCCCGGCCACGACAACATCGAGGCCCAACTAATGACATTCATGGAAGCATGGAAAACAGTGCAATTCAGTCTCCAATAATTACCCTGGATAGATGAAATCCTGACCGATCTTCTCTCACTATATAAACATATCAATGCTTTAAGATCTTTGTTGTTTACATCCATTTTTGTTTATTCCTCAGCATCTTTTTCCTCTTTAAGAACAAATAATTATGCTCTATTCAGATAACCCCAAATGCCTGAGGTCACAGAAGAATAAGTTCCATCTTTCAAGATTTTTTTGACAAGTTTGGACACTTACACTCTGATATTCTAAAATTTGAAGGGGAGGTTATTGGTTCACTTTTGGCGTTAATCGCAATCGCTGAAGGCGAGTGGACAAATTCTAACAACAACAGGTTTATGCTAACATTAGCTGGTCAGGTGATGTTAGTACCACCTAGAAGGTAATCACATTAGGCGAAACACAGAAAAACTTATGTTGGTTGAAGAAGGAGCATGAGTGCATGGGAGGTCAGCTAGCAAGCCTTAGTCTCTTGATCAAGAGAGTCCACACATTTCTAATATTAAAACTGAGAATCTCATACCTTCAACCAAAAGAAGTCATACAAGTGAACTGATACAGTTGTAGTAAAAAAACAAAAAGGAAAGGCTATGTAGTGGTTTTAAAATAGTAGCAATATGAGTCCAAAATATGGGCATGATGGGAGAAGAGCCCATATTGACATGAATCATTGAAAAGCATTAATGACCTAAATCCTCGACAGGGGCAAATAATCCACAGAAAGAGAAGCCTGTGTTAAAAAAGAAAAAGGAAAACCCCAAGTTTCCACAAACCACTTGGACAGAGAACATATTTTGGTAAGAAGTGGTTTCAACATTCACAAAAAAGAGAGTTATCTGGTAAATCAGTAGCAATGATTTAAGGAAGAGTCCCACATGAATAGCACCCACACAGTATAACTGAAATTTTGGGTCTTAATAATCTATCCTACCAGGATTACCAGGCCTTTATCAAATTCAAAAAAAAGATTACCAGGCCTTTATCTTTATTTTATAAATTGAATGGACAAAATAAAAGGGGTAACTAAGGTAAACCTGATATTGAATCCAATGCTAGCAAGTCATAATCAGAGACTACACCAACCTGTAAAAAGGAACAAAATATGGTCGGTCCAATGCAAAGAAATAATGAAATTTTAATTTCCAGGCAAATAGCATATTGATGTATTTCCATTTCTGTCAAATATGATCTATGATAGGAATATAACAATAAATCTCATGTTTCAGAGATTCATAATTGAATGCATTAAAAGGTCATGCTCGGTAAATCAGGTCAAGCTTACTAGGTTAGATTTGTGTAACTCAGTACAAATTTAATAATATTTGAGTGGCATTAAAGATCATGAAAACTAGTTCAACTTATGTATCAAGCATACACATGCTAACAAGAAAAGAAATTACAAAAAAAAAAAGAGGAAAATTTCGTATAGAACCCTAATTCCTCAAAGTATGTCATGGTAGACCTTCCTTCCATTTTTCTTTCAAGCGGCATAAGGAAACCCTTAAAGATTTCACCATACCCCATCATCTCTTATCTCCTTCTTTTATTGACTTTTGCCAATAAAAATTAGCCCCAACAAATCTTTTTATACCATTTCAACCCAAAAACGTTTTTAATGGGTGGAAAGGGGAAAAGAGTGTTAAAAACGTTTTTGGG